CTCTTCAGGCTGTCTTTCAATATTTAAACTGTCAAATGAGTATTTTCTGATAAAAGATAAAGAGAACATCTTTTATACCACTGATAGCTGAGCTGAAGTTCTAATTTTTTCCCCAGTATAAATTCAAGTAAAAGCCACTGTATCCTGTTACAAATAAAGTAAAGCTGGCATCTGAATGGTATTCTATAAAACATGCATTTCTAGTTTAATACTAAAAGTATCAACATTTACTCTATTGCAATTAAGATGGAATCATTGCTCTGAAATGAAATGGTGTTCTTTCAAGGGCAGTTTATATGGTGGAATGTACTGCAGGCTGCAAATGAATTTTACATCCCTTATGCCCATCCCTCTCTGTGAAAACTATAAATGTTTCATCAAATTTATAGATTTCAAGTAACTGCACTAAAGAGAATGGGACGGGAAAAAAATACTTGACGCTTGAGGATTTTTGTTCTCTCAGGCCAAATACTGCCAGATTCATGATTGCTAAGATGTTTTTAATAGCCTTGTAGTCTGGTCTGAGTTTTCCAAATGGTAGAAATGTGCTCTTTGAAGCTAAGTATTCACCTATCCAATATATATAAAACCTTCCATGCAGAGAGAGGTTTTTCATATAAAAAAGTTAATGCACCTCAAATATGTGAGAAATTTGCATCTAACTGAGAAACACTTAACAAAGACTCCATCTGACCTTTTCATCATAGAATGTAGAGAAAATACTAGTGAAATCTAACATATAACTTTATAGAGCTCACCCAGTAATCTACTAATTCTTGTGACAATCAAGATAGCTTTTAAACAATCTCTAGGAGAAAGTTGTTTCCATTTGGCCTTCAGTTACTGAAAGTAATATCTTACCAGAGGCATATTTACCATTTTCACTAACTTTACATTTTACCTGGGTTGGCAAATGGTTTCCTACTGATAAAAGCTGCAGCTTTTCCTAGCTAAGGTATAAGTATATACACTTTCAACAGATTCACATAAAGCCATAAACTTAAGATCATACCTAGTTCCAGTACCTCCTGATGGCAAGACTCAACCTGTTTCTTCTATTCAATTCTCATTCAATCCATGTCCCTTGTGTGGCCTTTGGCCAAGTGGCTTCTCCTCCTTTAAAAAACACCCCTGTGTCTGCATCCCTGTCATAGTCTGTTCAAATATGACTACTTATTAGGCTCCCTCGCCTCCCAGAAAAGTTCACTTCTCTTTCTGCTCTGTTTTCTCAACGGACTTGCCATTACAACCCTGATAATATGGCAACTGGTACCTCTAAGAAGAGGTGTTATACAGTGAGTTGGAAGATATTTGTATCTAGCCTCTGTCTCCTACCATGGTGGGTCTTGATCAATTTTCCTCTCTTCCTTAACTTATAACAATAATACTATAATACTACAACAGTATCTGCATTTGCTGGCTTGTTATGAAGAATAAATGTTCCTGGCATATTATCTGTTATGTAATGAAGATTTAACATCCTAATGTCTATATAATGGATGAAGTAACACCCTAGAGATGGTAGTTATCTTTTGTAATGTGAACAATTAGTACCTATGTTAGGATCTGTTACACAGCCATCTTGAAATCATGCAATAGATTTTTTTTTGTTTTTGTTTTGTTTTTGAAAAAGCCCAAGGACTGGTCCAGCAATAACAAACAAACAACGAATGCATGTTCCACAAGAGAGAGCAGGGACTGTTCTTAAGCTAGATCATCCTTGCTTGTGACTCATGGCCCATTGAATGAAAGTGGAAGGCACAGAGCTCAGAATTGAAGGGAGCCTGGACACATGCCATACTTTTTTAAAAAAAAAAAAAAAAAAAAAAAACAGGTTCTGTCTGGTCGTGTGGTGCTATCCAGTGTTGCCTGTTGCAGAGACATTCCTGTTGTGGACAGCAGTCTCATGCCAGCCTTCAAAAGCAAATTTCAGATTGGGAGCCCATCTTATTCCAAACCTTTTTTATTTAAATGTCAACTTGGAAATAAATAAAAATGTTGTGGGATTCCTTTCCTTTTAAGAAAGAAAACAAGACCAGGCTACAGAAACACACAGAGACAGCTGACCTGAACAAGGAGGAGCTAATGGGCCCCCAGATTGGTAGCTGGGAATCCAGCATTGAACTGACTCAGACCCTCTGAATATGGGTCTCAGTTAGAAAGCCTGGGCAGTCTAAGGGACCTCTGACAGTGGAACCAGGATGTATCCCTGGTGCACAAAAGGACTTTGGGAGCATGTTCCCCATGGAGGGATGCTCCCTTAACCTAGAGGCGGGAGGGTGGGCCTAGTCCCTACTCCAAACCACTTGACAGATTTAGATGACCTCTCCAGGAAAGCATCACCCTACCTGTGGAGTGGGGGGGTGGGGGTGGGATGGAAGGGTGGAAGAGAGGAGGGAGGGATGGAGAGGGAACTGGGATCAATATGTAAAATAAGAAAAATAAATAGAAATTAAAAAGAGAAAGAAAATAATACTTTTAAAAACATACAGCTATCCTAGATGAACAACACCTAAACTACAACAGAATTAACATATTGTAAAATGCCATCTGAAGAGCCTTCATGGCTGAGCAATGCATTCAACATGTATTTCCTTAAGCGAATGTAACTATTCCCACATGGATCTGCCTCATACTAGAAAACGCTCAGAGTGCTTTTCCTAATCAACTTGAAGAGAATATTTACCAACTGTTGCTTGTTTGTAAGCAAATCTAAAGCCAACCAAGGGTGGTGAATAACTCAGGAGGTCATTTTTGCTCTCTGTACTGTGTCCAAAGAGTGAAGGAAATAGGACTTTGCATTCATAGAAGATGAGTTTAGAAACACCCTGACAGGTTGGTTTTGTTTTGTTTTTTTCAATACTCCTTTGTTCACTTGAGTTGGGTTTTATAATTTATTAAAGTCCCTTTTCATCTTCCAGGAAAGCAAGGAAGCAATTCTTAAATAATTGGCAGTGATGTGTTTAAGTGCACAGCCCTCCCTCCTGGCAGAAACTGGATGGGTTGTGGCATGGGAGGAGCCTGGCGTGAGTTAGGAGGACAGCAGCTTTTCAGAACCTGCTACTTAGGGCTGGTGGCAGCTTTTTTTAGTTGCCAGTAGGAGTGTAGTGGCAGCAACTTATAGGTGTGCCAAACAAATAATGTCCATGAGTCAGACTTTCACATGTACAGCAACCAAAGTTGCCAAGATGAGGCTTAGTCCCCAAACAGACATGTAATCTCCTGACTCAGAAAGTAAACCCATTTCTACTCTTCCACAAAGATTAGTAGAGACATTGGCCATTTAGTTATTTTATTCCCAGGGTTAGAAAAGCCAGAAGGGAGAGGACCAGCATTCAAACATTCATCCTCACTAGTGAGATCAGCAGCTGCAGAACAGCAGTTCATTCCAGGGTAAGTCGGCAATGAAAAAGGCCAAATTTAGTATTTTTTGTTGTTACTGTTAATGAATGAAATGTGACACATTTTTTCCATATGAAAGAATTTCTGTGTGGATTATAATGGCCTCAGAAAAAAAATAGAGAGGAAAAAAAATAGCATTCTTGCAAAAATTTTGGTGACAGACAGTGTGCAATTGGAAGAAATTAGTTCAGCTTAAAACCTGAACCATGCAGCCTCACTTTTCCTTCCATTTCCTTTTACTGCCTTTACACTCCAAGTTCTAGATGTAAGTTCTTTATGCAAATTCTAGATGTAAGTCCTTACAATTTATTCAAAGCTTTGGACATGCCAAAGCCGTTTACCCTTCACTAAGAATTGAATGCATTGTAGGAGAGAGACATTCTTTCCTTTTCTTTCACTGAGGGAAACATAACAACAAGCTAGATTAGACTCCAGGCTAGGCTAGTGGATGGAATGATTTTTATTATTTCTAACATAGCTTTTGACAAATGCTTGAAGGCAATATTAAAAAAAATAAGAAATAAAATAGCTTTCATTTTATGCCTTAGAGAACAGATTGGTTACATTTAATTTCTAAGAGGGAAATTTTATAGAATAAAGTGGCTCAACATTTCTCTTTCTTCATCACACATATGAGAAATACAAGCTACAGGGCCATCTGGAAAGGACCGTTATTCACTAATCAGAAGGCAAAATCCAAACCACTGATACTTTGATCGAGACAAACACTACTAGAGTCACAAAGAGGAAAGCTGTAACGTATTGCAGGCTAAAAAACATTCCATATGCATTTTCACCTTTTGGGCAGTTCCAAAGCACAATTCTATTTCAGAAGCCCTTTGTAATCTGACACCCACTGTAGATAAGATACACTGTGAAGACAGTCTGTTTTGCAGCAGCAAGAAATCAAATTGGTTCCAGAAGCGAAACTATATGACAAATGGTTTAATAGTATGGCTCGAATTGGAAAGCTTGACTGAATTATTTCTCATAATCGTTTTAGAAAAAGATTTAAAAATAACTTTGCGATGCCATGTGGGGTGGGGGTTGGGATGTTAGGAGTGAGGCTGAAGTTAGAAAGCATCTCATTTTATTGGCTTTATAATTTGTTATTAAAATTTAGGAGCTCAGTGGCGATTTATTATTAAATTTTGTTTGCTACAAATATTTTTAGATAGAAACAGTACTTGATTTAATGTGACTAGTTATGTTATAGAAGATTAAATATATTAACAACTAGAGATGCATTTTTGTATTATAATTTTCAAGTTACTTTTAGTTTTCATCAAGTTCCAGTCAGCTTTGAGTTATTTAAAAAGCATCTGGAAAAGTTCATTAAGACTTGGCAGGCTTTAGAGTTTAGAAAAGGCGTCTTCTACACAGTAGTGTCTTGGCAAAATAACCCAGAGCCTTGTGAATGTAGATAAAATGAAATCATTCTCCTGACTGAAGTTGGGAACAATTTAAATGCCGCTTAGCCCACAGCACACTACTACAAAGATCTAGCAGAAATCATAGTTAAATAGGATGTGACTAGACACGTAGAACTATTTTCTAAAAAGCCAGGAAAAGATAAGATTTTCTCCTTTAGTACTTACAGTCTTTGAAGACCAAAGCTGGGTCTCTGTGAGGCAAGGTTTGGGCAACGATGTGCCTTAGAGATTCCAAGGTTCTGTCCATCTCCGTCTGCCTGTGCAAGCCTCCTGCACAGTGTCCTCATGCCTAAATTCTTGCAGCTCTGGACTGAATTTGTGCAGTTCATTGATGCACTGGATTACCAAAGAATCCCTTTTAACATCTGCCAATCAGACATTTCCCAGAATCTAAAGACCCTCAGGGCCCTCCTCTCAGGCTCACTTATCTTTGTTGTATTCTGAGCTAATTAGCCTGAAAGGCTGGCTGACAGACTGGTTCCCATTGCTTCCTCCGGTTAAACACACCCACCTACAGGATGGCTGGGGAAGCTCAGTAATCATGGGAACAACAGACTTCCTCACCAACCACATTTTGCCTGGATGCTGTGCTGCCTGCTCATTTGGACATTGCTTTTGGCTTTCCATCTTCAAAAATCAGTGTCCCAGGAATATGGACCCAGGAAGCATGCTTCTCAAAGCAGTTTGCTAAATTTCAAAGGAGGGGCTCCTCCCCCAGACTGCCACCATTGTATAACCACTATAACCAACATAATCTAAATTCTTCTTTGGAAAAAGGGGTACTATAAATATTATGATTGGAATTAGATTATGCTTTATAAATTCATTCAGAATCCTTTCCACAGTGATAGCCACTTCTGGTGAGCAGTGCCAAGAAAAACCTGGTGTATTATTTTGTGGCTTCTTTTTCTATTGCCTGTTCCTCCTTCCCCCCTCCCCCCCCCCCCGGCAAATAATTCCTAGACTGACTTCAATTAATTGTGATATCGTTCACTCATAATAACTCATTCTGTTAAAAATCTCAAGGTGAGGGTCTAGAAAATGGCTCAATGTGTAATGACCCTTGTAAAAGCAAGAGGACTTGAGTTCAAATCCTCAGCACCTATGTAAAAGGTAGGCTTGGCTGCACGTATAGGTAACACTAGTGTATGGAAGCCGAACAGGTGGATCCTAGGACCTGTCCACCAGTCAATTTAGCAGAAATAGGGAGTTTCCTGTTCACAAAAACACCATGTTTCCAAAGAACAAGATGGAATGTAACCGAAGAAGATATATAGAGTCAACCTTTGGCATGCACCTGCATACACACCTGAGCATATACCACAGATACCACCACCACCATCACCACTAACATCACCTACCACTGCCACCAACAGCACCATCACCACCATCACCACCACCACCAACTCCAACAACAGTAACAATATTACCACCATTAACACCAAAAACAACAACAGCAAAAACAAGTGACAAGAATTTCTGGTGAGCAAGAGCAAAAAGAATATAAAAATATATTAAAATAACTCAAGGAATCAGATTTTTTCCTATGATCTCTATAGCATCAACTATGTGTAAAATAATATTTTGACAAGAGACAAACATGTCATGTGATCACATTGAAATAATATGTAATACTAGAAGTAAAATAACTGATTTTAATGTCTGTAAGCTATTAGTTGTTGAAGAGCTGTGGAGGGCTTCTTTGCTTTAATTCCCCCCTCCCTTGTTTAAATCCTTTTACATAGCACTCACGACAGATTGTTTTCTAATGTTCTTTCCAATTTTCACATCCCATTATTATGAAACTAGTCCTTTAAAGATTGTGCACAAATAAAGTGTCTTTCATGTGATAGTTTCTTCAGTTTGTTATAGAAGGGTGGGCTTAATAAAAGAAGAAAAGGAAAAATGTATCAGTAATAGTAACTGTTATTATAATGACTATTCCCTGGCAAATAACAACAGGAAATACAGGCCACCCAAAGAAGAAATTCAAGGCTGTCCCATGAACAAAAGCATTAAATAAAATGACACATAGATCGATGTATATTTCATATGTATTCTTGAACTTATCATGAAGAGACTTACTTTGGGTCATAAAATATACTTTATATGGCCTGCACTAAATTGTAAGTAAGTAGGTGTGTGTGAAGTTTCTGTGCGTGTGTGTGTGTGTGTGTTCATGTGTGTGTGTACGCTGCTAAAGATCAAACCCAGAGATGTGCACAGGCCAAACGCAATATATAATTAAACAGCAACTTCAGGCCAGAAAAGTATTAGTTACTGTTGTCCAACAGTTTAAAATTTATTTTTTATTTGGAGGGAAGATGTTCCTAATTTCAAAAATAAACTAGGCGACTAGTGATTGAAAAACAACCCTGTTATCCTGAGAATAGACACATGGTATGAATGAATTTAAGTACTTTGAGAATAACATAGTATTGGAAACCAAGACAATTAATGTTCTCGTTATAGAACCAGGACAAATAAAGTGAGTTTCCCAAAGGAATGACGCTGATAATAGGAAACAGAAAAGTTTGAAATGATTCATGCCTGCATTTCAATCAGTAAATAGGTTTTTTCTGTAGATCTAAATTAAATATAATAATTCTTTAGAACATTTTGTTTATTTTATGTGTTCCACCTGCATAAATCTTTGCACCACATGTGTATATGATGTCTGTGGATGCTGGGACTTAAATCTGGATAATCTGAAGAAGCAACCAGTGCTCTGGAAGAGTGGCCAGTGATCTCTTGAGACTCAAATTCTAATCTTCAAAATAGAGTGGTAGAAGGGACAATAAATGTAGGCTCATTAAGGCTAGAATTATATTTTTGTCATCTAACTGTGATAAGCCACTCATCTCTGATTTTATATTTATCATGCATAAAATCATGGAGTTATTCTGAATGCTCAATTTACATTCTAACACGAATCTATAGTTGGATCTCTCCTTTACAGAAATTCTGCTGATCCATCTGAGATAGCCAGGCCAAACACCTTTATGCAGTGAGCATTTTTCAGTGGTCTCGGACTTATATTGTTGTTTCTAATGAATCAGATGACTACAGGAGTGAAGGAGGACCCTGAGAGCTGGGACGATTTTCTTCCCTGAAATAATTTTTCACGTATTTGCCTATGCCTTGATGATGACAAAATAGACAAAATCAAGAAGAATCAAAGGCACATGGTTAAGATGTCAAGACAGAAAATGACCATTTTATAGAAACGGACATATTCCAGTGAAGATGTTCAGGGTGAAAAGGAAGGGGGAAATGGGGAACTAGCAAGAGGATCAAAGCCAGGATCAGCGTTGTTTCCCAGGAAGGGTGAGTGGGTAAAGAAGAATCAGAGGTTAACTTTGTTGAGGGTTATTGTCAGCTTTGCTTTACTTCAGAAAGAGGCCGGGAGTAAGGATGAGTTGCTGCTGAGCAGCAGCTTTAATAACTAAAAGAGGTGAATGGACCTCTCAGAGTTTATTTGTTGTCTGTTGGGAGGAGACCAACAAGATGTTCATTTATGAGAGACAGCTGAAAAAGATAATTACTGACACTTTCTACAAACAGAAGTTTAAAAACATAAGTAACATAGTGGAATCTTACTCCAGACTTTTCATCTATTGATAATTTGATCATATTAGGGAATTGTCAGTAACAAGTAATTGCTGAACCACATGATAGAGAAATAATGAATATACTATCTGCAGAGTAAGGGGATGGACATTTCTTCATTTTATAGGAAAACATTTTAAAGAAGCAGTTACAAACTGTCCTTTATTCTTGTTCACCCTCATAACTGGAAAACACAATTAAATTTTCACCTATCAGAGCTCCTTGATTGGTGTTCTTGTAGTCTTATATGACCAATTGTTCAGCCATGTCTTAGAATTTGGTCATCCAGAGAAGCACAGTTTATTCTTTAAGAGATACTTTACAAGTCAATGACATCAGGGAAGTTTTCCTCACAGGTTAACAGTTTTTAAACTTGGAATTGTTTAAAGCTGGAAGAATTTGGCTGTTCTATTTTATAAGATTGGAGATAATGATGTCAAGCCAATTGGCCATTAAATATGTGTCTGTGAAAACTGAACTGATACTTTAATGGTTCCTGGCTAACTTCCAGAATAATTCATGTTTTGAAAAGGATAGTTTAAAAATTTTGGCTTATGGAGTAGATTTTACCAATGGCTTTTATTACAATATTTTCTTTCAAAGTTTATCTAATTATTAGTTCCTGTCCTTCCATTTCTCTCAAACTTCCCCTCCAAGACTGGGATTTATATAGATGGTTGTTTGAAAAAAAATTGACACAAGATGTGGCTATGGAGTGATAAGCTTTGTCTCTAAATAGGCTACTGAATTTCAACAATCTTTGAGTCACTTCTCAAATGAAGAGGACGGGGGTTTTCCACACAGAGTGCTGGGGGCTGTTTTTAGAGGTATGGTTGCACAGAATGCTTAGATTTTGCAAAATTAATGAGTAATTTTGAATGAATACATATAGATTAGGAGAAAAAGTATTAGGTTAAAAAACAAACACAGGGAATGTTTATATTGATTACAAATGAGTTAAGTATGAGAGTAGTTGATGATGCCAGGTCCCAGCAACCAGTAATTTCACAGCTTCATCTATTTTAGATGAAGTTTCCTGTAAAGGTTGCATCATCAGTAGATGTTTAATTTAGTTCCGGCTACTTATAGATATGTTTACATTAAGATAAAAGCCTCATGCCCTCCCATTTCACACTGTGAACTATGGTTTCCACGTACTTCCTATGCTGTTGTGACCAGAGTACTGCACTTTGCAATCATTTTCCTGACAAAGAACTATGCCTTTTCAAAATTTGTTTAAGGAGGAATAAGAAACTGCACACAAAGGAGTCCTATTTTCCCACAAGTTGTAAACTGGAGAAAGTCCAAAGTACAAAACAATAAATTCTTCTGCTCCTCTAAAAATACCTGAATGACCTTGAGTTTAGGGAGAAAGTGCTCTCTCCTGTGTCCTTCTTCCCCCAATTCTGACATTGTTTGCATGGAGGAATTATCAGTTGAGATGGGTTTTTCTTGGACATGTAATGGGAAGAAAGGGTTTGCTTTGCAGAAAGTGTGGCGTGGCAGGATAGACATCAAAATCTGGTTGTGCAGACTGTCCTCTTGAACTTCCTAGTGCCTGTAAGGTAAGACAGGTGTGGTGCCCAGTAACTCCACAGAGACCCCAATCAGGTACAAGCTCAAAGCCATCCCAAATGCAGCTGTCCTGCAATTCACCTTTTCATGGCTCATCAGTTTCAACTTGCCATCAAGTCTCTCACAACCTTACTTATTCTGTGACTTCAGGCAAGGAATTTGGTGTTTAAAGATGTTTGCTTGCAGCTACAATTAGAATGAGGTCAATAGAGAATCTTTGTAACTCTGGTAGGATAGAATAGACCCTGTTCCTACAATGTTTCTGCCTTTTTAAATTTCAGTCCATATTCCTTTCAAATCACTCTTAACATTGCCTCACCTAGTCCT